GGAAGGGGGGAAGACGTTGGCAGCGCCACATGGTGTAGTCACTGGTGACTTGTGGGCAGGAAGAGGCGGGTGGTGCTGTATGGTGTGCCAGCATCACTGACCGGTATGGGGGAGGACACATGTGGGGCCGTAAGGCATGCCCCCCTCAGTGACCTGAAGGCTGAGGACAAATTTTCCAACCCCTCTCTCCTCATACTTGTGCATTGGTGGGTTGCTGCTTTGCTTCAGTGTTGAACCCAGTGTTCTTGACCCCATTTTGGCTACAGTTGCACAAAGTACTACTGTACCTTAAGAAGGTTGGTAGAAGATTACACCTATGCAGCATTTGAACTCCCAGAATACTTTGTAGACTTAGGGCAAGGCTGGTCCTGGTCCTGCACACTGCACAGAACTAGGGAGAGGGTGCAAGGAACCTCTCCTGGTTCCCAAGCATGGGGACCAGAGACAGTCAAGGACAGTATAAGGCTAGCACCTGCAGCAACACTAACCTTCCAAAGAATGCAGGGAAGGGCAGAGTTGGGAGCAAATGAGGCAGCTGGTTAAAAGATGTAGTATCAGTTGTTCTCCTTGGAGCATCGTGCCTAATACTGAGCTCCCGCTGGAGTGATGCACCCCTCATGTGCAGGGATTTCTTTGTTCTCCACGGAAATGCAGCCACCTCTGGAGTGAGAAAGCAGCAGCCAATCTGCCAGCAGCACTGTACAAGTGCTGAGGGTTTCATTTGGGGGAACAGATGAAAAATAGCTTATTAAATGAAAACAACTGAGTCGATCTAGGCAGGCTGTAATTAGCAGAATTCAACCTGCCCAGGCTACTGAAGCTGACAGCTCTTCTTTAATAAATTCAGCGCTGGGGGTTCTTTAATGACTACGAGTGGGCAAGGATTTGGTTTTATGTCTGACGTACAACACAGTTCGTAACCAGTACAGCACTTCCAGCACTATGCTGGAACTCAAGGGAATGGGCCAGCTACTGAGTAACCCCGCACCCCCACCAGCACCTAGCTTTTCCTTGAAGCTCCCCCAATTAGGGAGTGTCTCATCCTGACCCTGTTTAGTTTAAGAGCTGGTAGAGATGCAGGCAGATCAAATGCCTAAAAGTCTCTCCTTCAAACACAAAATCCTCTCCTTTTGAAGTGTAGTGTCCGGCTTTGCTTCAGGTGATTTCAAGTTCAGTCAGGGAAGTAGAAGGAAAATACAGGGAGAAGATGTGGTTAAGTATTTTAAAGGTAGAGGGCCTGATTCTGGTCCCTAATCTTGCCCCTGTGCGCCGTTCAGGGGCACAATAGTCTGAGAGAGAATTCCCCGGGAACACAAGCAGTGTAGGAGCAAGTGTCTCCTTGCAGCCTCCAGCGTCTGGTGTGTACCAGGAGCAGGAAGATGCGTGCGGTCCGAGCTCTCAGAGCAGCCAGCACCAGCACAAGTGTGCTGTGAATCAGAGTAACCCCTGAGGATGTTCCAACTTTCACCAAAGGCCATTTTGGGCCTCAACAGTAGCCCAGAATCCAGGTGGTGCAAAGATGCCATAAAGCTATGCCTTCTGTGTTATATCTCTGAGGACATGCAGCCCTGAATCTAGCCAAGAATACTCCAGGGAAAGGCAGTAACCAGTCACCATGCATGGCTGCAAAGAAAAGCGCTTAGGTTTTAAATCCTGGGTGCAGGAGTTGGCTGGAGCCTGTGCTAGTTCTCAGCTGCTCTTCGCATGATGTTGCGATTTCCTGCATCTTTTGGAATATAACACGATAGTGCCATGAGACCTCACTGAGGCCTCACTCTTCTGCCTCATCTCATGTGGCAAGAGCATTTGGGTCTGCTCCAAAGCCCACTGCAGTCACTAGGTGTTGCTCCAGATAGGGGAGGCTGTTTTACTTTCCCTGAACTTTCTTCCTATGTCTCCTGCTTTTCTGGTGTGTTGTTAGGAGTGCTTCCCAGCCCTCTGGCTGTAGCTCACGGGGGATGTTTGTCAGGCCCATTATAAGAATTGTGGATTCCATAATTTCATGTTCATGAAAGAAAAACGTCCCAGGCTTCTGACAGTTTGAGATTTATGCATGTGGGTGAGTGAACTGGTGAACTGATGAGTCTTAAAAGAGCAGCTCATAGGATTGTACAGATTTTTAGAGAGCAGGAGACAGCAGAAGAGACACAAAGGACCAGACCAATAGATTCATCATGGGGCCCAAGCGCTAAGCCACCAGGGACTACAGCACAACCACGTCAGGAAAAAAGAGGGCGTTGGCAAGTCAACCCCTTAACTCAGTAAACTCCAAATGATGGCTGCCCAGCATGGGTATGCTGTAGTGTGTGCATGAATCTATAAGCTCCCTTTGTGCTCCTATGAAAGAGGGAGCCATAATGCTACATCCAGTGCCTCTTTTCGGGGAAGGGAAAGTGCTAACCCTGCCAGCAGTACTGAACCCCAGAAGGGGTGTGTTTGAGGGATTTGGGGCATGATCATGGCTGTACCCCTGCTTCAGCCCTTCCCACTATGAAAGACCTTTGGAAGCACCAGGAGGCTGTTGCTGGGGCTATAGGGAGCACAACACCCTTTCTAAAAGTGCAGCAAGTGCTGCATGTGAGCAAGCCCCCGCCCCCCAGTATGCTTGCTCCGTCCCTGCACAGGCATAAAGTGCCCCAGCCAGCCAAGTCTGCCTTGCGTTACCTTCTATCTCCTAGAAAATCTGTATCCCAGCACGGGAAAGGATGGAGGACATTACATTTGGCTGTTGACATATAGTATGAGAAGCTGAGCAGCCTGGCTGCGGTATTATTCAAAACCTAAGTTTGGGGTCAAGGTAATCCAGGGATTTGTTTGATTGACTAGCTTTTCAGTTCCAGTCACCTGAGTTCTGATTTGACCAAAGTCCCGGATGAGATGAACTTGGAGGGTAAAACTGGCAGACTCTGCTTAACAGAGACACAGGCGTGGAATAACAACAGCACCAAAAACTGGGATGGAGGTGAAATAATAGAGCTATATGGGAAAGGTTTCTGCTTCTCTGACCTGATACCTCTAAGCAGGGCTCTAGCAGCTTCACTTGCACAAATGCTGTCGTGTAGATTGGAGAAATGTTCAGAATGTAAGTGCCCAAATGGCTGGATTTGCACTCGGGCAGAGCCTAGGTATTGAGAGAGTCAGGACAGAGAGAAGACACATAGTATTTAAATTACCAAGTTGCTTTGTTTTGACATGTGTAAAGATAAACTCCAGTTACAGCAGGGATGGAACTGCGCTATAGACCTGGCATGATACAACTTTTTGATTGTGAGGGATCTTAATTTCAAGCAGGGAAGGGAGGCAGGGTTGGGTTGAAACCTATAATAAATGGTACTATTGATCATTTGCAGCTGGAGTGGAGCTCAAATATAATGCTTTACAACTGAGGGTCCTTGTGAGGTAGGTAAATACTGTTGTGTCCATTTCACAGAGATGGTTACTGTGGCAGAGAAATATTAAGTGACTTGACCAAGATCATGCAGGCTCTGTCCACTATAGGGATTTTGTATAAACATTCCATTACCATTGTTAGCACTGGTTCAGCTCTGAAAGTGTCTACAATATTAGCAGGCCAAAATAGAAAGGTCACTGGCTGGCCACCACTGTCCTTGTTAACACCCTGTCATGTCACCCTACTCAGAACAGATCTAATCAACATCGTGTTAAAAACAGCAGCAGCAGCTGTCTACACCTGGGATTGAAATGTTGCAGACACCACTGAAGCTGAAATGGTATTGGCGATGGGGGGGACAGCTTTAGAAAACATCCCTAGTGTAGATAGGGCCACAGTGACTCAATGACAGAACCAAGTGTTGGAGTTCTAAAGTGTTTGTGCCTCTGATAAAAAATACCCTGTTCAGTACTTAGCCCAATTCCCCACTGTATCAATACTATATCTTGAAAAGTTACAGCGTTGTTTCCTGTGCACTTATATTAGTGCCTCTAAACCCATGTGACTTTGTGCTGACTATGCTATGTGGGGGGCATGCACAGACCTGAAGCATGTGTATGAGAAGAGTAGGGGTGTGTCAAGCACCTGCGAAGTTTTAAAGGACAATCCCTCTCCCCTCAGAGGAGTCAGAAGACACCAGACCTGCCCTGGGTTAGTATAGAGAGAGTGGAATTTATACATTCATGCATTAGCAGCTGAGAATGAAGTTGGAGCCTGACTCCCTTCCTGGAAGGAAAGAGGATGGAGCCTTCTTTCTTCAGACAGTACGGGAGGGATGTGGTAGAGGCAGCCCACAATCTAAGCAGTCAGGAGTAAGATTGAGAGCGTGGCCAGGAATCCTGTGAAGCAACAAAATAATCAGCACCTCTTTCTGCAGTGCCGTGGAAACTGGTGCAAGGGATTCTGGTACGGGTGATTGCCTGAGAAAAATATGGCTGCATTTTTACTCTGTTTCTAGAGGAAAGGGGTTGAGTGTCCCTGCCGAAAATAGTCTGAGCCACCCCCAACAAATCAGGGTTTGGATTGCCAGGGCTCACCCTGCTGTGCCTGGGTATCACAGCTTGTGTGGCATGTACGCTCGTCCTCCTCACGTTCTAAAGCCATGTTTATAGAGTGCCCCAGCTGTCACCTGCAGATAAGCAGGTACAAAGGGGGGAATGAAGGGAACCGGTGTCAGCCTGAGGTCAGCATCTTTCTGCTTTTAAGTTAATACAGACTTGACATATAGCTATGATGCACTTTTAAAATGTAATGGTGTAAATCTATTTAATTTGAGTTTACACCTGCTGAGGTTCTGGCCCAATCTCTAACCTTCTAGTCGGATTTGCCTCAGGGGAGATAGTCAGTGGGAGAGGTCTTTCAGGCTCAGCCTTGCCTCAATAAATATCTGCCTGCTGACGCTCCAATGAACAGCAAGCACTGCCTCCCTTCAGCTTTCACCTCCTCCTATCTGTCACCCCGTCAAGCCAGCAGATGGAGAAGAAGCTTAGTGAAAGGTGGACCCTCCTGTTCAATAACCAGCTGTGGTTTGCTTTGCTTTGCTTTTCAGAGGGACGGATGCTCATTCAGGACATTCCTTCCATCACCAGCAGAGGGCATCTGGAGAGCACATCTGACTTGGTTGTGGACTCCACCTACTACAGCAGTTTTTACCAGCCATCCCTGTATCCTTACTACAACAACCTTTACAACTACTCCCCATACCAGATGGCAGTGGCCAGTGACTCCTCCTCTAGTGATATGGGAGGCACACTAGTAGGGTCCCCTGTGAAAAACAGCCTGCGAAGCCTCCCAGCCACATATATGTCAAGCCAATCAGGAAACCAATGGCAGGTACTGTGTAACAGAAATGATGTTGGAATTCTGTGTGCAATGTGCTGGGGTCTATGCGCCTGATCCTAATCTCGTTTACACTGATGGAACTCCATTCGCTTCAGTGAAGTTGCTGTAGTTCTCAGCAGTGTGAGATTGGAACCAGACTCTCGATGTGTGTTACGGTGTGTTTTTAAAAAAAAAAGAAAAGAAATGTCCTGGGATCCGAAAGCATTATGAAAGCTATGTGACAGGCTGTCAACACAATTGAAACGGGTTTCTGCTCTATTTTTTATTATTTTCTTTTTATAATTAAATATTAGTTTAGTAAGGGTTTGTTTCCAGAAATAAAACAATTATAATTAGTAAATTTACCAGCCGGAGAGCTCAGGGTGGTGTTTTGGAGAGACTGTGTTCTTTAGGATCTCTCTTCATTTCTCTTTTATTATTCCCCTTCAGAGACCCTACACAGAAGTGACCCCTCCTCCCAGCCTGCTAAAACAGTCCATGACACTCTTTGATTGGCTGGCAAGGGTCAATTGAGCATGACACAAAGCTGTTCTTCATGTGAACGTTAACTCTGCCAGGAAGAAGGAATTGGACTTGGCTCCTCCATGTAACAGTTTGTGATTGCTAGGCCAGCCCTGAGGCATCTTTTAAGCTGTGTGTACCACTATTATATGCAACATTAAACCCAACCTCTCCCCCTTAACCTGAAATAATATTAACCCCCGAGTGTTCAAAGAGGTAGGCAGGGCTTATGGGGAAATCAATTTTTTTTTTGTTTTGACATTTTTTTGCTATAATTAAATTGCTTAAATTTCTAAATGAAAAGTCATTTCAAACAGGAAAAATGGAACTTTTCATTAAAAAAATTACAGTTGCAAAATGTTTTTTTTTAGAAATTTTAGAATTGAAAATTCTTCACAACCAATCCTTCACCACAAAAATTTCAATTTCAGCAAATCTGCATTTTCCATCACAAAAATTTTGTTTAAAAATTTCCAGCTAGCTCTGTGAATATCCATTTGCATGTGATTTACACATACACAGCTACAGAACTGCAAGTGTGAAATTGGAAAAGAGGCTGTTCCAGGTCGGCCCACAAACAGTCGGTCCATTGTATTTTGAACCCCCTAAGCCAAATGAGCTATTCCTGTAGCAATTTTTTTTTTTTTTTAACCTTTTTCAAGCTCCATTTCTCAGTCTGGAGAAGGACCAAAGGGTTATTTGAGGTCAGAGACTGGCCAAAAAAAAAAGAAAGAAAATCTGAGAGAGTGAAAGGTTGTCTGGTCAGAGAAAGAGAAATCAAGAGTAGGAAATGCAGTCACTCAGTGCCACTCACCATCTCACACTGCATATTCCTCACCCTCCTTTGGAAGTGCTCCCCATGCAGCCACACCTTTTATGGCTCCCAACTTCCCTGGGTTACTTGTCTCCCTCTTGCAAAGCACGAGGGTGCACAACACAATAGTAAAACTCACAGCTAAGAGTCTGATGTCCAGCTCCCGTAGACGTACTTGTGCTAACACTCTGTAGTAATGTCGCTGCGGGTTAGTCTGGACACTGTGGATATATACTCGGCACGGCTAGCCTGGGCCATTACTCTAGCTACGCTACTATTTTTAGTGTACAAACTCGATGGGAACTAGCATGAATATGTCCGTGTGAGCTGGGAATCACCTCTTCCTCTCAGCTCCAAGTGTAGACATTCCCACATGGAGAAAAGAAGTTTCCTTCTTCAGGCTCCATTCTGAGATTCTCCCCCCCCCCCCCCAAGATAAATTGTCAGAAAATCTTCATGTCTTTAAAGGGATAAAAAGATATCGCCCTGAACTGAGAGGTTTGATCCATTCACATTTGAGCTATGGGGCAGCATTGGAAATGTTTTACATTCCAGTATAGTAGGTTCTAGAAACATCAGCATAGCTCCTCTCCCCACTTACAATACTCTTCGAGTGAGGCTTCCCAAAGGCTGCATAATTCTTTTTTCACTTCCTCCACATGGAAAGGCCCTTTTGGAAACACAGATTAAGGGCAACTCTTGAGGGAAGGGGCTAGATTCAAGGCTATGGCTTCGTGACAGGCTCTGTTTTCTCCTCTTTCAAGTCCTACACATTCCTGCTTTTCTGAGAAAAGAACTGGCTGGCTCTCCCTATGCCTGAACTCAATGCTGAGACAGCTTCCTTCAGACAAGAGTGATTTGCTCCCTCCCTCCACTTATAGGTGCACATGTGTGAAAACTGGTGCTGCCCCTCACACAAAGTGATTGTTGGAGGCTGTTCTAGAGCTGTATTCAAGAGTGCTCAGACAGGTCACACACAGGGAGGTGGATTTGGATTTCACTCATGCCAGTGCTGTACGGTATCATTGGTTTACTGCTCTTAATTTTGTTCAATCCAAGTTTTACTTGTTTGGTTAACATGATATGATGCAATACAATATAGCTCGTAAAATGTTATCGATTCTACCTTTCACTGTAAAGCTGTGTTTGTACAGCTCCTAGCACAATGGGGTCCTGGTCCATGGCTGGAGCTCCTAGAGCTACCGCCATGAAAATAATAAGTCATAATATTTGCATCGTGAACAATATGCTATTAAAATGGACTGTCAATCATGTGATTCACAACTCCTCCAACCAATAGTGATCTCTCCTGTGGTTGCCTCGGTGACTGAGAAAAATAATGGAAAGTGAGGGGTGCATGAGTTGACATAATACATAAGTGTATGCATGTAGTCTGAAGAATTGCAGGAGAGCTAGCTGCTGCATGAAGAGCTATATGGAAGACATTATGCACTGCATAGTGGAGATAGTATCTAAGCTATTGTGTTCTGATGTGTAGTGTAAACTTGAATCTGGATTATTTCTAAATACATGAATTTTATGTATCTGTGGCTTGAAGTGAGCTTTGGCTCACTGATATTAAGATTTCAAAGTGGTAGCTGTGTTAGTCTGTATCAGCAAAAAGAACAGGAGTACTTATGGCACCTTAGGCGTGGTCCACACTAACCCCCCCACTTCGGACTAAGGTACGCAAATTCAGCTACGTTAATAACATAGCTGAATTCGAAGTACCTTAGTCCGAACTTACCGCGGGTCCAGACGCGGCAGGCAGGCTCCCCCGTCGATGCCGCGTACTCCTCTCGCTGAGCTGGAGTACCGGCGTCGACGGCAAGCACTTCCGGGATCGATCCGGGATCGATTTATCTCGTCTAGACAAGACACGATAAATCGATCCCAGAAGATCGATCACTTACATCCGGACCAGGAAGTAAGTATAGACGTATCCTTAGAGACTAACAGATTTATTTGAGCATAAACTTTCTTGGGCTAAAACCCACTTCATCGGATGCATGCAGTGGAAAATACAGTAGGAAGATATCTATACACAGAGAACATGAAAAAATGGGTGTTGCCATACCAACTGTAATGAGAGTAATTAATTAAGGTGAGCTATTATCAGCAGGAGAAAAAAAACTTTTGTAGTGATAATCAGGATGGCCCATTTCCAACAGTTGCTATTAAGCATTGTTATAGATCTTTATACATGTACCATTTACCTATAGTCTGAGTTATGGTGCCCCAGCTGTTTAAAATATATGACATTGTTTTTAACAATATTTAGGGGTGGGGGAAGAATAATCTCTTTTTTTAAGATCTTATTTTAGAAACTCAAGATCTTTTGTTTCCTCGCCAGTTTCATTTCCTTGGGTCTTGGAAAAGCTTTAACTCCTACTAGCGGAGCTAACCCAGCTGCACATTTTAAATGGCAGCTTTTCTGCTTTTGACAGCAGTTGGATATGGAGGACAACAATTAAACGTAACATACATACAGAGGACTATTACCCTTTAGCTAGCACTTTAACACCACTGCCTTGAGACTCAGAATACAGTCATCGAGCCAGATCCTCCGCTGGTCTGTGTAGGTCCAACTGTGTTCAAGACAGTGGAGCTAAACCACTTTACACCAGCTGAGGATCTGGCCCATCATCTTACTGGCCAACAAGGACTGGCTGAGAATCCGTTTGGAATCCGTCAGTGCTGTTCTGGCCAAAAGTCACTGCTAAGAGATTTGAGGCATTAACTTCTCCTTGTTGCAGTCATAGGTGTCCCAGTCTCAAATGGGCAAGTTAGTGAGAATGGCCCAAAAATTGAACCTAGGTCTTCTGCCAGACAGTGAAAAGCACAGTCACTAAGAACACGGCCAGGTCCTGCAGCCTTTTTCCTGTTGTTTGTCTCTATGGCGGAGGTGCAGGAAGGAATGGTGTTGTTTGAAGAGTTAGGAATAATGTGACTGACATACTGTTATAACAGAGAGACAAGGTGGGTGAGGTAATAATTTTTATTGGGCCAATTTCTGTTGGTGAGAGAGACAAGCTTTCAAGCTACAGAGAGCTCATCACATCTATGTAGCTCGAAAGTATGACTCTCTCATCAACAGAAGTTGGTCCAATAAAAGGTATTACTGCACCCACCTTGTCTTTCTAATATCCTGGGACCAACACACCTTGCAACAACACTGCAAACATACTGTGATAGGTAGCCATTGTGAAAATTATCAGAAAATATTTTATAATGAGAGATAGGATAGATAACACTTTACAGCACAGGGGGCAGTGACTCTCATACAGGCAATTAGGGAAAGCAGTGTTTTGCACTGAAGTAGACTAAACGTAAGTGGGAATTAGATTCCCACTGCAATCTGTGGTTGAGTATAGAATATGAGTGGTCAGTATTGCATATATTCAAGGAAAGCTCCCTGCAGACTAGTTCCATTGTGGGAAGAATACGAAATTGTGGTGAAGAGGAAGGTAAATGAAACTTCAGTGTCAATTGCAAGTAAAAGTTAAAGGAGTGTTTTAAAGGAAGATCTGAAGAGAGGAGATGGCTAAGGTTTTTATTTGCCCTTAGAAGGATTAGCTGGTTTTAATATATTGGTAGTTATACTGGCAACCCCCCAGCGGAGATGCAAATTATACTAGCTGAAGAGTGCTTTTGTCAGTGTGGCTTAAACCAGTTC